CTCGGCGCGGCTGCAGGGCGACGTGGCCGCCTTCAGCGCTGCCCTGCGCACCCTGGTCAACAACCCCCAGTTCAGGTGAGGGCCCGGGGCCTGCCGCCTCCCCCCAGCCCCGCCGAAGCCCCCGGCGGCTGCTCCGTGTTTTCCCACAGCCCCGAGCCCCCGTGCTGGGCCGATTGGGGCCCGCAGGCAGTTCGGGGAGCCCAGGGCAGCTGGTGGGGCCGACGTGGCTGGTGCAGCGCTCCCCACTCACCCGCGTGATATCAGGAGACCAGGCTGCCAGGGGTAGCCCACCCTGGACAGCCACCCTCTCTCGGGAGGGGGGAAAGTTCCCGGGTGTGCCCAGACCCCCTCTGTGGCAGCCATGGTGCCAATAGGGCAAGGCAGTATCCCAGGATAAATCCTGTGCTGGGGCTCTTGCCCGTGCCAGGAATGGGGGTACACTGAGCTCCCTGGGGGCAGCTTTCTCCCTGTTCAGTTCCTCTCCCAGCTGGCTTTACTGGTGTTTTACTCCAGCCTCCCCGGAGGGCATGCAACATGTTGCCTGGCATCCCTCCTCACAGGGTTTGGCATTCCTGCCACCTCTTGCCAGAGCAGGGCACAGAGATGGAGATGCTGCCTTGGCTTCCCTCATCCACATGGTATGTCCTGCCTGGCTGTGGTCCTCTTCACCACTTCCTGCTGAGGCCTGGCCAGCCTATCTAAGGAAATCCCCATTCCTGCTGAAATTTTTGGCCACCCAGAAGAGAAATCCCACTGAAAACTCCCCAGCCACAGCACCAGACAGTAGAGGAGTGGATGGCAGGCACTGCCTGGTCATTCTCAGCCTACATCCTGCTGCTCGCATCTTTCAGCCCACACTCCGTATCCAGCATCCTGCAACCTGAAATCTGTGTTCTGCATCCATCTACTTCATCCCACATCCTGCATCCTTTCTCCTGTAGCCTGTACCTCACAGCCTGCACTCTGTAGCCTTTGTTCTGCATCCCACATCCTACAGACTTCATTTTGCACACAGACTTCAGCATGTGTCCTGCATCCCAGGCCTTGCATGCTGTAATCACAGCTGGCACCCCATGTCTCACAGCCTGCATCCTGCATTCTGCTTGCCCCTCTTGGCCTGTGGACCTCAATCACAAGACAGTTTATAATGATCCCCCTTGCAGGAGCAGTCGTAGAGGACCTATTGGGCTCTGCTCACACCACCCATCCTGCCCCAGCTGTGTCTCCTGATAGACACTTGGGATGACCCAGGTGTCCTTCCTTCTGGTGGGCACATACACCTCCCTGTGGGACACTCTGAGGGTCAGGCCATGGATTTGTGCATATCCTTATGGCAGTGAAAGCTTGGATGGCATGTGTTCTCATTGGCCTGCTGGGATGGAGGAAGGGACAAGGGGATAGATGGGCCATAGCCGCAGGCTGGAGACTCCATGTCCTTTGCCTGCTTCCTTTCCTCTGGTCTTGCCCCGCTTTCCTGGGGCCATGGAGCTGGGGAAACATTTTGGGGAGGGGAGGGTTATAGGGGATCAGGGCAACAGGATGGTCCCTGTGCTCTAGTACACATCTTGTATGCCACAAGCTGTCCTGTTGGGCCAGTGCCAGCCCTGCTGGCAGCTATGCCAGAGGCTCCACATCCCTGAGACGATGAGTCAGTTCCCATGAGTCAAGGAGGCTGATCCCGGTGACAGCCACGCTTTCCTTGGCTCTGCTGTGCCAAAAGAGAGAGTCACTTTCTCCAGCTTTCTCCTTGGCCTTTCTCTGCCCTGCTCAGTGCCAGCACCCTGGGCTCTCTGTGCTTTCCAGAGGACCTGTCGTGCTCACCTCGCATGCATCATTCAAATGGCTGGAAAGAGCCACCAGCAAGGTTCTGTTCCCCTGTTGGGACAAACCCCTGGGTTAAAATTAAAGGGTACTGTCGCGCTGTGCCGAGCACTCAGCAAGTCCTTCCTGTGTGCCCTGTCCCAGCCCAGGGAAGGCTGTGCCCTTGCTTTCCAGGCACCGTGTTCCTCATGGTCCCCTCTCCCCACAGCGATGTGATGTTTGTGGTGGGCCAGGAGCAGCAGAAGGTGTTTGCACACCGCTGTGTGCTGGCGTGCCGCTGTCAGGCATTCCGTGGGATGCTCAGCCAGGCACCAGTGGGCAGCCAGGACTCCTCCAGCAGCGTCCCACCCCAGGGCCCCTTCATCCTGGGCAACGTGCAGCCTGAGGTCTTCCTGGCCGTCATTGAGTTCCTCTACACCAACAGTGTCACCCTCAACAGCCACATAGTGAGTGCAGATGGGGCTGGCAGGGACCGTGGGCATGGGAGGGACAAGTAAGGGGATGGAGGGGAAGGAAGTGCTTTGCTTTGCAACTCTTGGTGTGCCAAAGTTGGAGGAGATGGTCTATGTGATGCTTGCTCTCTGTCTGGCTAACAGTGTAATGAATGTGTGTGTGGGGGGTCTCAGCACATTGGGGTGTCCAGAGCACCTTGTCCCAGTCTTGTGACCTCTGGCTGTGCACACCCTGAATGGTGAGAATGGGGACACCACAGCAGGAGAACTAAATTTTTCTCCATGCAGCAGCCTTATCTCCCACGCATCGCTCAGGAGCTCCCATGGAGGCAGGAGCACACCTGCCCTTTACCCTGGGCTGCTGTGCCCGCCCATTGTCGTGCATGCTGGTGATCACAAAGTCCCTCTTGCCTGCAGGCACTGGAGGTGCTGACCTCATCGGTGGAGTACGGCTTGCAGGACCTGTGCAAGGTACGGTGCTGTATAGGCTGGGGACAGTGGTTCCTGAGTGTTCCTGAGATGGGCAGCACCCCAAGGTGGTCCCTGCATGGCTGGTAGCTGGATGTGCCTCTGAGGAAAGCACCGTGGTGCATCATGCAGGCTTGGCCCTGCTTCTCAATCCTGGAAGGTCTCGCCAGTGGGATCCCCCTTGGGGGTGCAGCAGCAGGGAATCCCACAGGGGAATCCCGAGAAATCATGGGGGAGGACATGGAGTTTCACATCTCCTGCACAGCAAAGGTCAGAAGGAAAGCCCCTGTGCCTTCACCCACATGTGCACTCTGGTCATCTGACAGGATGATGCAGCTAAAGAGAGCCCTGATCCTTGGAGCAGTCAGCACCCCAGCTGTGTTACTGGTGCTGCCAAGGCAATGCTGCTTTGGGTAGGAAGGTTTTGGGAAGGCAGCAAGGAGCAAAGAGGAAGGGTGGGAGCTGATCAAGGAGGGGCCAGGGAACTGAAGCAGCTCAGTGTTGGGGAGGGTTGCCAGGCCACGTCATCAGCTTGATTCCTGAATTACAGCCTGGCTGAACGCGTGACCCGAGATCTCACACCCAGACTTCCCCTTCCTCCCCATCACACCGGGGAAGTACCTCAGGAGCTGAGGAATTGTGGGCTGCCAGGGTGGTGGGATGGGACCTCTGTCAACAAGCTCAGCCAAAGCCCAGATGTGGCAGAGCTGTCAAACAGATGTCTGGGCAGGGAAAGGATATAAGGGGTGCAGCAGAAAAGGGAGACCTGGTACTCCTATCATGGGTCACACCCCACCACCTCAGGGTGGTGCAAATGCATGCTGAGGGGGATTACCTGCATAGAGGAGGGGTGGGAAGGAAAGGGGCTGACCAAGAACAGCTGGTGAAACCATGTCAGTGTGCCCAGCTGCAGGGTGACCTCATATCCCTCCTGTTAATGACTCAGGGCCCTTCTGCCCTTCTGCCCCATCTGATAGCTCCTCTTTGCATGTCATATCCCCCTGTGGACTCTGCTAGGCAGCTGAGATAGGGAGAAGAGAGGTCACACTCACTGATACACATGCTGGTCTGGCTGCATCCCACCTGCATCATCCATGTATGGGATGCAGCTGGAGATGCCAGTCCCCTAGCAGTCACCAGGAGCATGGCTGGTGGGTAAGGCTGGGGTAAAGTTGAGGTCACCCAGTGCACTGCAGCTGGCACCAGGATTGTGCCCTATGGCAGAACGTGGGTGGCACATGTAGACAGGATTAAGGTATCCATCTGGGGCTATCAGATTGGCTGGGTTTGGTCACATCAGTCTTGGTCCCTGGCTCCATCAGTGGCCAAGCTAGCTGCCCACATCCACACTGCAAGACCTCATCCTACAGCCCATTGCTCATGAAATCCTGGGGGGCTGGAGGTGCCTCTACCCCACATTCCATGTGCTGGGGCCTCAGGGGATGCTGAGAGTTGTGGGGGGGGGATGGCAGGTTTGTGTCCCCCACCTCTGCCCACCCTCTCCCTGTCTGCCTTCCAGCTCTGTGTCAAGTTCATCAAGGACACACTGAGTGTGGAACAGGTCTGCGAGGCCTTGCAGGTAAGAGTGACACCAGTAGGGTCACAAAGGGTTAAAAATAACCCAATTTTGGGGCAGGAACAGAACTTGACCATTCTGTTCTCTGCTGGACAGTGGGGCAGGATTTCCCACTCACCCCTGGCCCAGCTGCTGCCCTGCCAGCTCCCAGACCACTGGGATTGTACCAGGGCTGCAAGGGATAGTGTGGCCTCCAGAGCATGGCAGAGAAGTGTCTTCACACTGCCCTGAGCTGGGCTAGCCAGAACCAGTGCCAGGACTTTGTCATCATCTGTATGACAGCAGACTGGACACTGGGTTTTGGGGAGGCAGTCCCAAAACCCTTGCTGAGAGCTGAGGCACCTAAAAATAGCCTTGGGAAGGTCCTAATGGCCCTGGCTATGCTACTTGGTGGGTCCAAGGCTGCTTCCCAGAGAAGGGGGATTTGTTTCATCTCGCACAAGCTGAAATAATCTTGGGGTGAAATGCCTGCCCCAGAACACAGAGCCCCAGCCAGATGTGATGCCAGACCACTGCGACATAAACAAAGCTAAAAGTGGCCCAGAGGAAACAAAACAAGAAACCCCAAAACCCTAGAACAAACTAAACCTGAAGAAAACAGCTTGTCTGCCTTCCTCACTTACGTCAGGACTGGTCCCTTGCTGTGGTGGAGGGGGAGGTGGTGTTCACCCTGCCTTTGCTGGTCTCGAGTACCCCACACACAGGGGCTGCTGTGGGGGGATGGGGTCATGCCCTCCTGGTGACCAGATGGACAGGGCCAACCCTGGGACAAACATTGCTCAGTAGGGTTGGGAGAAAATGAGAGCAACCCCAAATTCCTGCTGTAGTGGGGGTTGGCAGCTATGGGTCAGGCTGGGGCTGGCACCAGGGGTATGGGGTGCCTGTGGGGGACTTTGAGCTGATCCTGCGCTCACACAAGGAGCACTGGGGACTGGTGGTTTCATGTGCCTGCAGTGTGACCTTTTGAGAAAGCACTAGGGCCTCTCCCCCACTGTGGGCTCAGTGACCTGTCTGAGCAGAGGTGGAAAATCACATGTCCTGCTAAGAGTGAGGCTGGGTGACCGTTGTGAGCATTAGAGCCACCAAAACATTTGCTGTTGGGCAGGCCAGAAAAGGAGGGGACCTTGGTGCCCCTTCCTTCCCACACTTTCACCATGGTGCCCAGCCCAGAGGGATATCTACCTCACCTATGTCCCTGAGAGTGCCCGTGTTTCCGTAGGGCTTTGGCAGGGAGTCCCTCCTGCCCTGGACCCCTTGCAGGTGTCTGTGTTGTCTCACAGGCTGCTGTGACCTATGGACTGGTGGACCTCCAGCAGCACTGCCTGGCCTTCATCGAGGGCAGCACCGCGGTACGGTGGCAGGTGATGGGGGAGCATGATGCCAGGGTAGTGGGGGGCACATGGCATGGAGAACATTGCATGAGGCAGGGGAGCAGGGCCCCTAAGGACAGGATGTCTGGAGGCTGGGAGAGGAGCAAGTGGTATTTGGAGAAAAGATGCTGGGTGACTGGGAGAGGCAGGCTGGGGCATAGTGGAGTGCTAGGGGATTGAGTTTGGACTGGGGGATGCTGGAGTGCCAGGCACCAGGATGTGTCTGACGGATGGGGTGGTGGTTTTGTGGGGTCCTGGTTCCAGCACGCTGTGGTGTGCTGGCAGGCAGTGGTGCGGACACAGGGCTTCCGTGAGCTCTCCGACGTGGTGCTGGCACGGGTGCTGCGCAGTGACCGCCTGGCCGTGGACGAGCTGGACCTGGTGCAGGCTGTGCGGGAGTGGGCACACGTCAGCTCGGTGAGTGTCACACAGCAACCGCCACTCAGGGGTGCCTGGGCCCTCACCAGCCCCGGCTGGGAATGTCGGCCAGGGCTCTGTTATGGGAGTGTCACTCCCCCCAGGCCCCTGCCTCCCCTGGTGCCCAGGACATCACCAGCCTCATCCCTCACATCCTGATGTCTGACAGGCTGTCCTAGAGCGTCCGGTGCCAGAGGTGGCTGCCCTGCCCGTGAGGGAGCTGCGTCTGCCCTTGCTGGCACCCAGCGAACTGGTGACACTGGAGAGCTACAACCAGCAGGACCTCCTCATCCCGGTGAGCTGCTTCCTGTTCTTAGTGTCTCCTGACTGACCTCCAGGGCTGGAGGATGCTACAGAGGATGGGCAGAGGAGGACCATGCTGTGGCAGTGC